GAGGACAGTGTGATAGCGGTTAAACTTTGTCATATCCCAAGATGACAAGCTCAGGTTCTAAAACTCTCCTAAGAAAGCTCCTGGCAAATATTGCAGAAGTTCGTTCATTCTTCCACTTATTCAGCAAATAGTACTCATGTGCCTGCCATTTGGAAGGTATGGAACCGGGTACTTTGGGTCAAATATGAAGCCACAAGCCATGATCCATACCTTCAAGGATTTCACAGTCTAGGGGGGAGACAAGTCACATGCAAAAAGCAAAACTAAGAAAAATGGAGTAAAAAAATAATTAACATGCACTGATTGTTTAGTCCATACCGTGCATGTGCTTTAGAAACTTTATCTCATTTTATCTCGAGCACAGGTTATGAGGTGGGTGCAGTTATTATCCTCATTTTGCTAGCACACTTGAGAGAACATAAGGACTCTGTCCAAGGTCATGCAGCCAATGTGTGGTGAAGCCTGCAGCAGAGTCCCTGCCCTTAACCTTATGCTGCCTCCATCGTTTAAATTGTAATAGTTTAAAATTGAATCACAGAGAATAGAATAGGGTGAAACATACTGTAAGAAAATATTAACTAATATCCATAGAAGTAAAGATGAAGAGGGAGAATGTAATGAGTCAATGAGAATGAGACAGGAGGCAAAGGGGGCTGAGGAAGAAGACGAAGGAAAGGAAATGCAACAGAGGGAGGAGGAGAACCAGGGAGCACAACATCCAGTGTCAAGGGGGTAGAGACTTTGAGGGACAGGGATGTCGCTGTGGTATGATCCATGGAGATGAGAAGTGAGAAAATGTTTGGGCTTTGGCTCTTAGTAAGTTATTATTGACATTCTGGGAAAGCTTTGGGAAGAGAATAGAAACACAAGCCAGATTGCATGCGCTAAGTTCTGAGTGACCACGTGTCTCTTAAGTTGCTAATTCTGATAACAGAGGGGACCATCAGGCAACATAAACGTGGTAAGTGGGCCAGGTGTGAGAAGTCATAGGGAGTGGAAAGGTCTGTGGCCAACTGGATGAAGGTCAGTATTGACTGGTCTTCTGATTTTCCAAAAGTGGCTAGAAAATCAGAATTTTTTGCATGACATCTCCTGATTTCTAAATGTTAGTTCAATTTAAAAACAAAACACAAAACAGCATTGAGGGCCAACTGTAATACATCTGTGGCCTGTATTTGGCCTACCAGCTGCAAGCTTCTGGAATCCTCTTTCCAAAAGTTTAGATGTGAAATGAAGAAGCATCTCAAAAATAAGCGTGGTTTAGGATTGTATGTGAGAGGTGTGTGTGTGTGTATGTGTGTGTCAATGGCTGCTTGTTTTTGTTTTCTTGGGTTTGGTAAACAAAAACTCATTAAGAAGGAGGATTAAATAGAGACAGAGATACCCAAAATATCAAAAATAGATGTCTGGAAAATTAAAGCGCCAGTGAGAGTGGGAAGAATAAGATCAAGAGGCCAGTTATTAGAAACATGAGAAGATGGGCTAATTTCCCACATTTCGTTCATTTACTTGCTATAGTCATCACTTTGCCGTACTTGTGAATCATCTGTATTATTTGCTCGATAGTTTTCTTTAAATCATCTCCTATTTTATATGTAAAAATAGAAAAATGAAAGTAGAGATGAAAAACAAACCAAAAATGAAGCCATATATCATTATTTGTACTGTCATATTGTATTTTTCCAAATATGCATTTTTAAAACATACAGAACTATTTGACGTTTTGTCAAAAGTTTATCTCCATTCCACTTAAAATAATCTTGTATATCGCTCGTAGAACATATAGCATGTCTTGGGAAAGATGGAATGCTTAGTTAGAGTTCTTTAGGTCATTCAAAGCAAGAATTTTTCCATGTTAGAATAACTGTATATAGTCTCGGGTTTTTTTATTCAGGCACGTCAACTTCAATGGCCTGATCTGAATAAAATGGATCAAGGCAGGCACCTCTTTGTCTGACAATTTTTAAATGATGCTATATGAATACCAAGAGGTTTTGAGCTTGACTGCAGAACCTTCCAAATTAACCTCGAAAAAAAATACCATCAAGTAACAGATTTGTCAGCTGCCCTGCTTACACCTTTCATATAAAACAAAGGTTGGCAGATAATAAATGAAAGGTCAGTTCAGAAAAAATTACATATAAAAATTGTATATATAGGGGCACCTGGGTGGCTCAGTTGGTTAAGCAACTGCCTTCAGCTCAGGTCATGATCCTGGAGTCCCGGGATCAAGTCCCGCATCGGGCTCCCTGCTCAGCAGGGAGTCTGCTTCTCCCTCTGACCCTCCTCCCTCTCATGCTCTCTCTCTCTATCTCATTCTCTCTCTCAAATAAATAAATAAAATCTTAAAAAAAATTGTATATATAAAAATTACATATACATAAATATATGTCAGACAGTGTCCCAACATAGGTAACAGAGGATGGAAGTTGGAAACTACTTCTGGAGTCTCAGAAAGAGACGAATTTGTTGGCAGTATGTAAATATCACCACTGTTTCCGCGGCTCTCCATTTTGGTGGCTACTTCTTTATGCTGAGTCTCCAAAATTTGATTTAAAAGACGCTGAAGAGACCTGTCTCCCTGAAGAAGATTTACTTTGCAGCAGTTTCACTTTCTCTAAAAAAAAGATGGCTCAAAGGGGGAAAATATACTTCCTTTGCCTTGTTTCTCAGTCTCACTCATGCCATTCCTGAACCAAAACTCTAAAATGGAAAAAGTGAGAAGCTAAACCTTCTTGCAAGAGCAGTGGTGCATAAAGAAAGGCTTACAGTGAGTCCATCATCATGAATGATTAAAACGGAACTGGGCAGCTATAGCATGACTTGTACAAGTAGAGTTGCTCAAAGACTCATGCAGGTCCGACCTGCCTTGAGATGACTGTCAAGGAAAATGTGTCAGCCCATTCTGGCTTTGGGGGCACAGGTGACTCTGGAGGTGCAGTATCAGGCCAAAGGGGGTCACAGAGCCATGATGTTAAAGTCGTGGGGCATCTCACAAATTTCCAGTGTGCGTGGTGTCGGGAATTTATGGCCTGTTAATACATCTCTCAACTGTATCTTAAGTGTAGGGAATTGTGCAAAATATAATTCTATCCGAGTAGCTTGCAACATACATCACACTCCTCATTGCCTTATGCTAGTGCACATTATAAACTTGCAAAAACATACATTTGAGAGGGCTTCCTATTTTCTGTGAGCTCTTTAGCACAGCCTTACGCATAACTGAGGCCAAAAGCACGTCGAACAGCATTGTGCACTAGTAGTCAAGGATATCCATTGACGCTTGGCCGCGATGCTTGTGGTTTCTGCTTTCTGCAGTGTTATTTTCTGACTGCTTTCATCTCTTTCTTAAGCCTCCCTATTAAACCATGTGTTATAGATGCAATTTCATTACTGATAGAAACCTAAAAATTGAAAGCTAAAGAAAATAGCATTACAAAGCATATTCTGGTGATCTTAAAAATCATTTCAGGGGCGCCTGAGTGGCTCATTCGATTAAGCGTCCGACTCTGGATTTTGGCTCAGGTCATGATCTCAGGGTTGTGAGATCGAGCCCCGCATCGGGCTCCATGTTGAACACGTACCCTGCCTAAGATTCTCTATTCCTCTCCCTCTGCCCTTGCCCCTCACCCCCACTGGCGTTTGCTCTCCTTAAAAAAAAAAAAAGTTTCAATATTAGCAAATGTTTGCAGTGTGCTGCTGAGATTGAGGACTTCACAGCATAGTCTCTGCAGTTTGCATTGCTGAGGTCCAAATACCTATGGCAAAACTTGCCCCCACCCCCAAAATATAATTTTCCTCCCCACTAAGCTTCATTAATTAAATCATTGACTCTGGCTTGCTGGTAAGGACCAATTCCTACAACAAGTGTATCCAATTTCCTGCTAGTGATAACTTTCATTCTTCCTGGAATAGCAGGAAACATTAATTTTGCATTGGACCCAGGAGTCTCAGGAAGCTGGAATTATAGGCACCATTGCCCCGCCCTTTTCTCCCCTAAAATAAAGTGAAATAAAATAAAATGAGCAGCAGCTCTGCAGTGAGGCTTGAGGGATGGGTAATGACAAAGAAGAGAAAAGGGCATTAATTTCAGGATGGGGACAGCTGCCCGGCACTATCTCCCTTTGGATTTTGGTTCTTATAGCATCACGGTGAGTTATTAATATGTATGATCCGTACTTTATTCAAACATTATAAATCTATGCAGAAGTCTGGTGTTTGGGTTTTCCTTTATAGCTTTCATTCTTCTTCCCAGAATTATCTCATTTTGATCGGGAAACTTTTGCATAAAAAGCACATACCGAGAACTCACATTTCCATACCATAAATATTAAAAGGGGGTTAAGCTTTACAGTTTCTTCTCCCATCCCAATGGGAGGAAAGTTAGCCTTCTAATCAGGGGGCCATTATTAATGTTCTTTTTATTCACAAGCTACAAGGTAAATTTTAACTTACAATATGAAATTGTACTCTGTAGTTCCTTTCCTTTATGTACATTGTGAAATGCTTGGCTACGCCATGTCTTTTGTATGATATTACTACAAATATACTTTTGAAGGATATACTACAAATCAAGCAGTCCTTTGAGTTGTTAAGAACAGTTGGTTGGCTTAATTTTTGAGGACCAAACCAAGTCCAGACCTTTTTTTAAGGATCGTGATTAAAGTGCTTTTCACTGGATAATTATAAAGTATGATTCATCACAGTGTATATTCATCATGGTAAATCTCTAGCATGCAGAAGACGGAAATGGAACTAGAAAGCTGAATGTCTTCTTAGTAGCTTTTAAGCTTCTTAGCAGCTTCCTCTCTCCTGTTTATTGTCATTTTTTTTTTTCTGCTAGCATAAAGGCGTAGTCATAAATTTTGGTTCCCATGGAAATAGAAAGGAATGCGTGAGCTATTTCATTCGGGTGTACTGTCTGCTAATCACAGTCTCGGCTGTTGTACTTCGTGATGGGAAATGAACGTGCTAATTGGTACTCTTTTTTCTTATTTCAGGAAACCTGCCATATGAATATAAAATAGTGATTGCTGGGAATCATGAACTGACATTTGATAAGGAATTCATGGCAGACCTTGTTAAACAGGACTACTACCGTTTCCCCTCTGTGTCCAAATTGAAACCAGAGGACTTTGACAACGTTCAGTCCCTCCTGACAAACAGTATTTACTTACAAGACTCGGAGGTAACAGTGAAGGGATTCAGGATATACGGGGCACCTTGGTAAGTGCTCATTGGAACAATCTTCCCCCTTCTTGTTTTTAGTTCAGCACTAAGAAATCATGATGCAAACGTAGGTGCTTTCAATGGCAAGGATAAGGGTGGAAAGAAAGCTTATTTGTATATTTCCAACACAACACAGATTCTAGCACTGCTGGAAAGAACGGTGCTTGTTGTTTTCACCGTCGTGCAGATTTCCTTAGGCAAGATCAATGGAAGTAGGGCTTTGGTAGATATGCATATGTTTATGTGACTGGGGCTATGTGTGTGTCTGTGGGACACAGAAGGGTTTGGGGGAAGGTCACCGTGTTACCCTTCACGTGGAGTCAGCTACTCTGAACATGCCATCAGCCTTAGGTAACTCATTTCCTTCTCATTTTACACTGGAAACACTCATATCTTGCTTAGGTTAGGTTTTCTCAAATCTTGCTACACATCAGAATCACCTGACTAACTCTGAAGAAGTACAGATTTTTGAAGCCATACCCCCAGAGACTCTGATTCTCCTTCCTGAGGTAGAGCCCAGCAATTTGTATTTTTAAAGCTCCCCAGACGAGACTGATGTACGCTCAGTTTGAAATTTACAGGTTGAGGCTCAGTGCTGAGAATTCTAGCACTGAGCTCTAGAAAACTTGAAACAGGTGCGTATTCTTTGGGACCAGACAGGAAGCATTTGATCTTGTCTCTCTCATTTGTCACTTGTGTGCTTTTGAAGAAGTTAATTCACAGAGGATGAGCCTCAGTTTCTGCACCTCCAAGACAGTGGAGATAGTACTTACTTTAGAGGATTATTATGAGGATTAAATTAGGTGACGTTTTATAATGGATGTGGAAGAGTGCCTGGTGGTTTGCTTAGGGTAATGATGATCATTTTCTGGCCTCAGTACTGCTCCTAAGTATTTATGTGAACTTGAGCAAGTCACTTAGCCTCCAAACCAGTTTCTTCATCTTTAAAGTGGGAGTTTTAGACTAGACGATCAATATCAGAGGAGCCTTGGATTTTTATTTATCTACTTTTTTGAGAGCTCTGTGTGTATATAGAGCAGAAGAACTAACCTTTACTCACCCAACCTGGAGAAGTATCCCAGCCCTGTGCTAGGATTTACGGATAAGTCTGGAAGAGGACAAAGAGCGTGAATTCAGATTGGCCATCCCACTCGACAGTTTGGTTTGTTCTCTGTAGAGTAGAAAGTTGAGGTTATTTTCTCAGCAGTTGATCATTTTTTTTTTCTAGCTTTACTAGTTGGTATCCAGAAGGACTGAGGAGTGAATACAGGAAGTATATTTCATTTAAAAATCAACCCGACAATGACTGTGAACGCTTACTTGAGTACCTACTGTATGCCAGCCATTGTTCTAAGCCTTTTTATCTTTTATCTCATTTTCCTTAAAATGCCTTTAAGAAACGGACACTGCTGTGATTCTGATTTTGCAGGTGAAAAAAACTCAGGCACAGAAAGGTTAAGTAACTGCTCAGGGATTGCCCAGACTCTGAGCGGCAGCATCCTGGTTTTGAGTCTGACTGCGGTGTGCACCATATGACTGAGATGGTCATGGTAGCGGTGTGGACATTGGGGGTTATAATCTGCAGTGGTGATGTCCAGCTTTACTAATGTACATCAGTGAATGTTTTATATACACAAGGTGGTAAAGGGCAAGAGAACAAACAGTAGAAATTGGTCCTATCCAAGTGTAATCTGAAAACTGGTCTCAGGGTAACGCCCGATGTCGGTATGAGCATTTCTGAGCAAACAGCCAGAGAGGGAGCTTTTCCATCCTCACAGCTCTCTTCTTAATGACTATGCAGGAGGTGAGGAAGGACCTCTGATTGGCAGAGAAGCTCTGCGTGGAGTTAAGATCATTTTTTTAATACCTGAAGTTGATTTTTGAAAGACTTTCGAAGGCACGGAACATGGAAGGCCGTTCCTGAACAAGCCAGACTTTGAGACACCTCCGGATTGATAGTTGCTGAAATGATGATAGCAAACAAACTTCCTCCATTATCCGAGCAGATTCAAATCTGTATAGGATAAGGTTTAGCTACACCAGCTGACGGCTGTGATGAATGAGGGAGTGAGGCAGATCTTGCAGCATCTCAAATTTAAAAAATAAATAAATAAAATAAAAATTTTAAAAATTA